ATTTACATAGTAATGGACGACTTCGTACATTTTATGATCGCAAATAAAATATGTATATAATATACTGTGCACTGTAGTTCGTATATATACTGAAACCCTTTGGCAACCCCACAGTTTAAATGTTTATAATAAATACGTCGTGAGTTGTGGGCGTTACAGACGAACGTTCACCTAATCTGACCCAGTCAATGGGATATTTAAGCGCGCCAATCAATGGTCTCGCCTACACTGTTTTGCACATGATTCTAAGAACATTAGACGACGGAAGAGAGCGTATACAATGCGTGGAAGTCTTAGGAAAAGATAATAACAATCTGCTCTTAATATATATTTATTTGCCATCAACTGGAAGTCGTGATCATTATGAGGAATTTATAGACACTATAGATCAACTTAATGAAATTGTGCTAAAATATCAAGATACCCATTATATGATAATTGGAGGAGATCTAAACGAAGACTTAGGAAACACCGATAGAATAAATAAGAGAAAAAGACTATCTGGAAAAATTTGTGAAAGAAACTGGGCTTAAATACGACAATGAAGGAAAGACATTCGTAAAGGTCAATGGAGAAGAATGTTCAGAATTGGACTACTTCCTACATAAACTTGGAAAAATCAAGCCAACACACAAGCAAATGATGAATAGCATAATGAACAACACGTCAGATCATCATCCTATAAAAATGAAAATATTATATCGAATCTCGAACGATGCCGATTGCAAAAATCTAACGAAGGATTGTACAAACCGAGCTGTCAAATGGATAAAGTTGATATTGACCTATATGTAGCCATGACAAATGAACATTCAGATTCTATACTCAACATGCCGCTAGATACATTAGAACAAGCTACATCCGTCTTAGAGCAGGTGCATGGATTTCTAAATGATGCAGCAGTTACATGTGCCTCAAACAAGCCTAGGTACAAAGCAAAACCGAAACTGAATGTATGGTCTCCAGATATAAAGTAAGCCCTAGATGAGATGCGTAAATATAATGCGCAATGGGTCAAGCAAGGGAAAAAAAGGACCCTGCAAATAATATATACCAACAAAGACTGAGAACTAAAAAGGAATTTAGGCGACAGGTGCGAATTGAAAATGCTAAAGTCAAAAAAGAAGGCAAGGTGCCAGACATGCTAAAGGAGGGACTACTCACCCCCGTGTTTAAGAACAAAGGCGAGAAAAACATAGCAACTAATTACAGAGGAATCACTGTTCTACCTGTGTTAAACAAAGTGATAGAAACAATTGTAAAAGTAAGGATTAACCCAGCAGTACTAGTAACACAAAATGTAACTCAACGAGGATTTACGGCAGGCTCAGGACCAGCAAATGCAGCCTTACCGGTTGAAGAAATATACCGTGAAGCCAAAGATAACAATCAAGAGTATGAACTTGTACTGCTGGACGCAAAATCAGCCTTTGATGTAGTTATACATTCCCATCTTATGAAGATGCTCTATCATGCTGGAATCGATGATAAACACTGGAAAATCATTCAGAGTGTGCACACAAATGCAACAAGTGCAGTTAAATGGAATGGCCAAACTTCCGAGCTATTTAATGTACTACAAGGAGTACGCCAGGGAGGGATCCTTAGTACCGACCTATACAAGCTTAACATCAATCCACTACTCAACATGCTGGAAACATCAAATTTAGCATGTAGAATTGGCAATATACTCTGCAATACTAGCGCATGTGCAGATGATGTCGCACTCATGAGCAAAAAGACAACCGATATGCAAGTACAAATCAATATGGCAAACACCTTTACCAGCATGGAGGGATATAAACTACAGCCAAAAAAAAAAAAGCGTGGCTATAAACATCAAACCTAAGCCAACAAGGAAAGAAACGCTATTGGAAGAATATACATTGAATGAAGCTACTATGCCAAGAGTTGACTCAGCTATGCATTTAGGAATAACCAGAACCAACTCTATGAAGCAAAATATCATAGCAAATATTGAGGAGAATATAAAAAAATCAAGGAGAATTGCTTATGCTCTACTTGGCAGTGGCTTCCATGGTGAAAATGGACTTGATATGGAAACTATAATACACCTGTATAAAATCTACATCTTACCAGTGTTATTATATGGAATGGATCTATTAACACCACGATCTCTTAATCTGGAGAAATTGGAAAAATTTCAACAAAAGAAAATGCTCAAGCAACTAATGTCACTACCAACTAATACACCAGATCCCGCAATTAACATCTTGACGGGAATACTACCAGTTGAAGCACAAATACACTTAAAGGTTATGACCCTCTTCATAAATGTATGTACCCAATCCAACGAAAGCTTAGAAAAACAACTAGCAAGGAGGCAATTGTGCATCAAGTCAATGAATAGTAACAGCTGGTTTATTGAAGTAAAACAATCATGCTAAAATACGATCTAGGAAATGCAATTGAGTGGCTAGATATTCAGATGAAAAAGGAAGAACTGTTAAGTAAAACCAAAAAAGGGATCAATGCCTACTGGATTGAGCGAATCACATCTCTAGCTAAGCTCTATACCGGCCTTCGATACGTTAACAGTGATATATTCATGCCTGGGAAAATACATCCAATATTGCGAATCAAGCACCAATCTCCAAGAGACAGCAAGAGAGTACCTACCAAGATCAAACTATTAACTGGAACTTATATACTACAACCTTTAAGATATAAGATATACAAAGAAGGAACTGAAGATCATTGTATAGCGTGCGACTGTAAAGAAGAAACATTAGAACATTTGTTTATAGAATGTGAAGCGTGGAATTACCTTCGAGATCCAATTCTACAAACAATTAAGAACCTCCTAACCGCAAATGGGGATGTGCGTGAAGAAGACCTTACATGTGAAATGACAATTCAAGTATTAATGGACATTACAAAAATACAAAAGATATACAGAGTCTCATCTGACCTGATGTCTCAAATAGAACTCCAATCAAGAAGGCTAGTGTTCCTCATACACAATGCACGATATCAACTGGTGATGAAAGACCAAGCAAAGAAATAGGATGCCTGAGAGTGGTTGCAAGGATGGGAGGGGCAGCAATGAATAATTAAATAAATAATTGAAAATCTAGTCTATTTAATACAATTTTTAAAAAGTATAACTCTTCTTATTAAATCTTAAAGTCTCGGTTAATAAATATTCTGCGAATTAACTTTAAATAGTTTTAAAAACATAACTTTTCTATTTACTCTCATAATACACAGTAAATAAATTAGTGTCAAATTAACTTTAAAGATATAAAGGTGAATTCTTAAAGGTCACAGACCATAAATTTTGTCTTTTTTCTTTTTGTGAAATACTAAAAAGTAAACATGTGATTTAATCTGTAAATGTTATTACATTAAATATCAGTAGACCAAAATAATCTAGACTGCTCGAAGCAAAAAATCTTAAAAATTCTAAAAAAAATGAAAACAACACGTTTAATAATTTCATGCGTCCGAAGCGCTTTTCTGGATTTACCTTCATCAGGAACGCTCAAAGCCAAACATTTGAAATCCGAGGATGCATAAGTACCGAAACAGTTGAAGAGCTATATGACAAAAATACCTAGAAAATAGCCAAATTCATCTAATGTAAATAGTGTATATAATTTTGTTGTGTTATGATTGTTAGTTTATTTTTCGTTTATTTTTTGGTGGTGGAACTGTTCGACATACGTAAGTATGATTTCCCTATAAAGGGTGTAAAGATCCAGAGAAGAAGAAGTCAGTGTACTGACCAAGTGAATCATGCGGGACAACTCGGCCCGGAGACAAGTCGGACCGAGTCAAATCTGACCGACTTCTAAGTCAAGACGGACCGTCTTCCTCTATGAAGACAACTCTGACCGTCAATAAGTCAACTCGGACCGTCTATAATGTATTAAACTGAGAGGATTTGAACTATATAAATGATTATAAATTATTAAATGTTATATTTTATATGACAACTATCATTTGCATGTTGCTGAATTTGCAAAAAAAAAAAAAAAGAAAAAAAAAAATGTATATGATGTGAATTCAAAATTTTAATTCTCTTTATCAATTTATTATAAAACTTAATTAAAGCAAAAAAAAAAAAAAAAAAAGAAAAAAAAAAGGCTAGGTTGAATTTGTTTTATTTATTTGTTGAATTCTTTATTTATTGTTTTAAAGTCAATTCAGACCGTCTACAATGCCAACTCTAACAAAGAATAGACATAGAGTTTGTGCTATTTATATGATAACAAATTATATTTTACATCAAAGTGTCCTTAAGTGTAGATTCTTATTTCTACTTGACCATGGTAATTCTATATTTTGAATAAAATCTATATATATTATAGTTATAGTTTTATTTTGAAATAAGAGTATGTTTGGACTAATACCACAGTACTTTAAAATAATCTAGGATATAACATATATCATACAAAAAAAGAAGAATCTACCAAAACGTTACAAACGTTATTTACTCATACAGCTTTCAAACAACAGAAATAAAAAAAATCCAGGGAGCGTCATTCAATTGTCTATATTAAAGACGTCTCTTCTCTTCATAGACGATCCGAGTTGTCTTTTTCGTCATTTATATACTCAAAATCGGTGGCAAATATTTATTAGAGACTTCTTTTCAGACACAGTCTTTTTCAGCATTAAATCATATTTTCGTCAAAACTCTAATTTCACACTTAGTCAGAGTTGTCTTCATAGACGGTCCGAGTTGTCTTTTTGTAGATGGTCCGAGTTGTCTCCGGGCCGACTTGTCTCGCACCTGAATGGAATCATTCCTAGGCCAGCGTATAAGTTATAAAAACATTTTAAATTTTAGTTGAGAACTTATTAGTTGTAACAGAGACATATACTACGTTGTATTATATGTCTCCGGTTGTAACCGTGTAATGTGCATTATAATGTTTACCTTTTATCCAAACTAATTGATTTATCTTTTAAATGTTTAAAATAATCTGATAATAGGATGTGTTCCTGTAGAAGGAAATATATTATTACAAGAAAAGACAAGACCAGTTGCTTTCCCCTAGACGGTAGATGTCCTGACCTAAATATGTTTTCGACACAACAGAGAACTTTTTCGTTGACGAAGGCAAGAATATTTGTAGCAAAACTCCATAAGCTGTCAGAAAGATATGTTTCACTTAGTAGTTCCAATCTATTCTCTACGAAAGGAGTGACAACTACCTCGTTCCCCGAATTTGAGAAAGATAATACTTTAGATATACACCAGAACCTGTACGACTACAGTATTAACAGTTCAGAAACATTCTGGGCCACACTTGCAAGGTCCAGACTGAAATGGTCGAAGGAATTTTCCCAGGTCAGTGATTGCAACATCAATGAAGGAAAGATAAGATGGTTTATGGATGGACAACTGAATGCTTCAGGTATGTTACAAATTATCCGCCGGAGTTTGGAAATTTAACCCTCTTCAGTCTTGCTGCAGCTAAATAATGTGGTTACATTTCGAACCACATTTCGTTGCCAGGAAAAAGAAAAAAAAAAATTCTTTATCTTACAGATTTTTTTCATCATCTGAATTTCAAACACCTACAGTTGTATGTAATATATCAGAGGAGGGGTTGGCAGGTTGTCATCCCTAAATTCTCAGAAAAATAAATGCTGAATCCTGAATTTCTGAAAAAATAAAGCATTTTTTTCCAAACTGAAAAACTTAATCCTTAATTCCCAAGTCTGTTACTTTTATTATTTTTCTTGTGGTCAGAGACTAACAGCTGGACACTTGGTATCAACAGATGATTGAATGATTAGCTCCTCCCATATGTTTTTATATACATGTACAAAGTATTTACCATGTGCTTTTATTTACATAATTTAATTATTTAAAAATTACTCCCTGTTGTGACATCATAATGACCCTGGGATTTTTACAAAATGTTCAATTGGATAAATACTTTAAAATAATGAGATAAAAAAAAATTTCACTAAAAAATCATTATTAGACTGTAGTGCTACCTTAAATAAATCTATTTTAATTTCTATAACGATAACATTCAAATCACTAAATTTGTAAATTGACAACTTAGCAAAAAAAATATTTTCACTTTCAAACAGTGCACAAAACGAGTGTATACTAGATTTTGCTAAAGTGTGCAAAAATGTGTCTCAGAAAACTACTGCAACAAATTAGTTTATAGAATTTAGTTTTCATTTAAACCTGTTCAAGCAATGTAATACTGGAGAAGAATTATTTAAACAGAGACATATTATTAGTTACATAGTGTGCTAGTGACTTCCCCATATGGAATTTACTGACCCTATATATATCGTATTAGGTCACTAGCACTCTGTGTTGCGAATTTATCTTACCGACTATCTCAACATGTGGTATTTGGACTAGTGGCCTATCAAAGTGATCAAGTCTTCAATACCATTAGTATTAAGAACCTACTTCCATTGGTCTATACAAAAACAAATGCCAACAATAACAACTTGCTAGCTTTAAATGTGTTTTATGAATTTATTTCAATCGTTCATCATCAATTTCTTCGTCTGGTGAAACCTTTCAGATTTTTCATCAACACCGTGTTGTTTTTATAAAGGGATGTAACACCACTACTAACCGGGTATTGAAATAAACCCCCGCCTACTAACCCCATATGAAATATACACTGTCTCCACACGGTGGCTTTTAACCAATCATATTCCTAGAAACGTATAGGAAATAAGATAAATAGAGTATATAATGTCTCTGGTTAAATGCAGAACAAAATCTTACAACACGAAATTTATTTAGAGAATAAAGTACCAAACATGTTGTTATGTTGTACCAAAATGAATGTTATTAAATAGATGATAGGCTAGTGCAATTGTAGATGAATTGTTTGATATATGTTTGCTTAATGTTCAGTGGCAAATATTACATGCATATTAACGACCAAACTATATTGGACAGACAACAAAAGTGACAAATTCATTCGAGGTTAAGATAGCCTCAAAGGATGTCACTTTTTATAACAATAATCTAGTTGATGTACACATGTACATTTTTTTTCTTTTTTTTTTTCCTTCTCTTTTTTGTGGGGGTGGACTTATCTAGCCCCCTAAACAATTTGTTTTTAAGCAAAATTTTTAAAGGTCTGGGCTTATACTATTTTTAAGTACAATTTACTCAAATGAAATATAACTTTAATAAGGAAATTTCTCCTAATTAATGCTCTTATTGTGTAATTCTTCAAATTTCATAACACTTGAAATTTTCAATACACATAAAAGTAACTGTTATGAATCCTTTTATTAAAGTTTATTTTTCTTCAACATTTTAAGACCATAGCTGATAGCTAAAATTAATTTAGGAAAAAAGCAAGTCCATTTATATGCACATTGTTATTATTTCATCTTCAAAACTTAGATAATTCTAATCAACATGACCATAAATACTAGAATAAACATTGGTCACACATGAAATATCCCTGAAGTGTGACACTTGCTGAAAACTACCTGCATAACTTTATAAATATTTCTTTGATAATCTTAAAACAAACATTTCAATTTAAGGTGGCTTGGGTGTCTTCCTCCATCTTGGATTTTGAAGTAGCAGATAACAATTGGTTTAGATCTTTAATGACATGTGCAAATTTTGAGAGTAGTATGTAATTCATGTGTAAGACTGTTCATGTTAATATAGAATATTATGTGTTTTATCATATTTATGGCTGTATTTTCTAAAAAACACAATTTTTTTCAACTTTGCCACATAAGGGGAGATAACCCAGATAAAGTAATTTTTATAATAGAAAGTGTTGTGAATTTACCTTTTTTAATATGTAGCAAGAAAACAAGTCTGGTGACCCCATTTTTTCTTTTTCTTATCTGAAAGCATTTTATAAGAGCTATCTTCTCACATTTTATCTTAAAATTCTATGGTGTATTTTTTTTTTTATCACACAAAATTGGATTTTCCATGCATAATCTATACAAAGTCTGACAATTTTGCACAACCTGTAGCGTGAAAAAAAGTCCGGTGACCAATACTTTTTATTATATTTTGGAAAAAAACATGATAAAAACTACATTTTGACAAATTATTAAAAAATTCTATGGATTTTAATTAAGACTAATTTAATTTAATTTAATTAATCCACCTTAAGAAATAAAATTTTCTATCGAATGATGTACTTTTATTTTCATGTTGAATTTAATTACATGTCCTGAGTGCACCCAGGAGCCCTGAACGGTGTTTAGACGTTCCTGTAAAAAATTGGTTGATTGGGGAAATTGAGAATTTGTTTTTAAGTTTTAATATTATGAATTGATTTTTACTTACTAGTCAAGGAATATACATTAAGATTATCTCCCTTACAACGTTCTCGTAACTCGCATCACCAGGATGATTTCAAACATCTACCTAACCTTGATCATCCGTGTGTCAGTCCTCCTCAGTTTATCGGCGGGAACAAAATATTCCATATACCAAAATTATTTATAACTTGGGAGGAGGTGGGAGCTTTGACTGGTAAGTAAAAATAATTCATAAAATTAGAACTTGAAAACAACTTCTCAATTTTATACCATATATATTTTACTTACCAGTCAAGGAATATACTTTAGGATTACTGCTGATTTCAAAGCAGTCTGAACCCTAGGAGGAGTGTTATAAATAAATTATCTCACCTGAAAACACATCTAACAGAAAACTTCTCTGTGATTCTAAGTCATTTCTAACTTCATAATTAGTTCAAATGTAGTTCATAGTTAAAAACACATAAAATTCTTCCACCATTTAAAATGCTTCCACCATTAACATTTCAAATAAGTAACAAAAACATGCTGAGCAACTCGCCGAAAATATAAACTTAGTCTATTTTCTGTAACACATTTACATCTAATTCACGCAAATAAAATCTACTGAAGGTAGATTCTGAGCTCCAATCTGCAGATTCTAAGATCAAATTAATTGACGCTCGTTTAAAGAATGCCCAAGTAAGGCCAATAGGTCTTGTTGCATGTGCATGTATTTTCCGTTTCCTTGATGATTCAGAGTCAGAATAAGCCTGTTTTATAATTTGAACAATCCAATGTGAAATGGTTTGAGAAGTAACTGGTCTATGAGGTTCACATAAAGCTAAAAACAATTTCCCTCTTTGGTCTTGTTGTTATTTTCTCCGCAACTGTTTTGTTTTATCTAAATACTGTAATAAACATTTCCATGGATCTAAAGAAGTATTTTCAGTATATGTAGGTACAATGTACAAAAATTTTTGCTCCAAAATGTTTCTCCCTATCCTGCTTGGCTAGGCCATGTCTTATAAAAGTATTTCCTTTAGTTTGTATTCTCATGGAGCTTTCATCTGTTCTTAGTGCCTGCAGATCGCTACATCTCCTGAAAGTAGTAATGGCTGTTAAAATTCAGTTTTCAAAGTCAAATCTTTTAAACTCATTTGTTCTATAGGTTCAAAAGGACTATTTTCTAACATTCTTAATACTAAGTGCAAATCCCACTTTGGTAGTAGCTTAGCAACTGGTGGTCTAGTATTGAAAACACCCTTAATTAATCGAGTTATTTGAGGATGTTGTCCTATTTGGAAATTATCTATTAGAGGTAATACTGTGGAAAACATTGAGCATATCCTGCAATTGTTCTGTATTGCAAGCCACTATCAAATAAATATGATAAAAAATCAGCTATCTGACTTAAAGATAAAAGATAAAATATCTTTTATGGAGCTCAACTTTCCTTGTACAACACCAGCTATTGAACTTTTGGATTTTGAGCAGTAATCTTTTTGAGTTCCTTTCCGCCATGAGGTGGAGAGTAACTCTCTAGCTCCTTTTTAAAAGCCTTCTGTTGTAAACCATTCATTGATGGAATCCATGCAGTCAGCTTGAAAACTTGTGGATTGGGATGATAAATCAGAGTTTTCGGCTGACATAACAATTCTGGAATTACTGGTATCCTGATGGGAACTGCTATCAATAATTAAAGCAGTTCTGGATACAAATGTCTCTGTGGCCTTCGGGGAGCTATCAACAAAATCTGACAATGGTACTGCCTCATATATTGTAGGACTTTCCGAATCAGACAAACTAGGGGATATGCATAAGCGTACATTCTCTCCCATGAAATTGTTAGAGCATCTAGAGCTAAAGCTTTCTGATGTAGGCTCCATGAACAAAATATTTCTGTCTGACGATTGTCTATTGAGGCAAATAAATCTATCAAAGGAGTTCCCCAGATTTGAAATAGATTTTGAACTACATATTTGTTCAAAGACCATTCTGTATGTTGAATTTTGGTTCAGCTGAGTTGGTCTGCTAAAATGTTCAATTTTCCAGTTATATGAGCAGCCTTCAAGCGAATATTGTTCTGAATTGCAAGATTCCATAATTCCAATGTTTGGTAGCAAAGAGTGGGTGATTTTGTCCC